CATCCTGCTATAGCTACCCATGAAAACGATGGCATACAGCAAAGTGAGGGTGAAAGATGCCCTCTTATCAAAATAATTTTTATTATTTGGCTATTTTAAAAACACTGTTTCTATGGTGTGGTGGAGCCTCACTTCTCCACGTTTTCAAGCCAGTCCACATTTCCCATGAGTACACAACCACCTAAAGGCCTTCTGTACCAGATTCGCCATTAGAGTGGGAGAACTGCCTCTGAGCCATTAAAAAGTATGCATCAGCTGCCATCTCTGCAGTGGTTTCCCTACTGCCACGCTGCGAGCAATCCAGAAGGGTTTTTTTTCCTTCCCCCACTACTCCAGCTCTTGGTATCAGATGTGTCCTCTGTTCCTCCCTGCTTCTTCCATACTGATGAAGGAAGCTGGAAACAGTAAGGTCATCAAATCTCAAGCCGATTTTGGAAACAAAATTCATCCAGCCTTCTTTAACTATCCCACAAATAACCCTTAAAAATGCCCGACATTTCTGTGGGCTGTAAACTGCAAATAGCATCTCGAGATGCTTGCCCTGCATGCAATGCTTTATGATTTACCATGGGGGAACATGGAATCAAATACTAGACGGTTTAAAATTATGCAAGCACAGTAAGAAAACTAACACCATTTAGACCTCATGAAGTTAAATGGAACTCCTTTATATTTTATTACTACCTACACCACAGGAAGAAATGAAGGCAAAAAAAGAAAAAGAGCATTTTCTCAGATAACACTAGTCAATTCTGTGATATCAGTCTCAGGTAGAAAAAAAACCCAATAGTTTTCTCACCTGTTGCTTTGTTCATGTATGTACTATGTAAGTCAGAAGACTCAACATTTATAAAATTGAGAGAATCGGCTGTACAAGTTGATAAACCAAAGTAGAATCTTCTAATGCATATTTTTGAATAGTAAATAAAAGTACTGCTTGAGATAGGTACATTTCAGTTGCTTAAAGAGTACACTCATCAAGTGAAGATAGTTACCCTCAAAAAGGAGGAAATGAACACATAAAGACATGACTAGCACTCTACTAAATTTCAGTATGCAGTTGGCACCCCTGCACCAAGTTCTGAAAAGTTCCTAATAGCCAGTGCAACCTCTGAGCTACAGGATTCCAAGAAAATAGAGATCCCTTGAAGGAAGATGAACCTGAATACAGACAATGAACCATGAGACTGCTCTCAACTAGCCAAGTTCCAAACTACTTAGGCCTTCAAGACCCAAGGACAATGGCCAAAATTCCAACAATGGAAGAGGTGTTGGTCACCCAGCAGTGTAAGGTCATTCAGTTACAGAGGTGAGCAAAGAATCACAGAATGGTTTGAGCTGAGAAGGAGCTTTCAAGGTCACATAGTCCAACTTTCCTGCAAAAACGTAGGAGCAAATAAAGTGTGGATTACACATGCCTTTAACAGTGCCTAGAGCTCTGGGAGGTAAATATGCTTCTGTGATTCAGCTTCGAATGCCTGTGAAACAGTCAGAAACAAAGAAAAGGTGCACAATACTTGTATTAGGGTTATATATGCAACTATGGCCAAAGTCAGTGGAAAAATTCCTATCAAATGCACTAATCTGGTTGATACCTCCAATTGTCATTTCTGCCCTTAGGAAGTTAAGAACTTGATTTCAGTAGTCTAATTAAACCAATCTCTCTCATCCCACTGTTAATTCCTTCCAGATGACTGCAGTGGGAGTTGTACTGGTGGTGAGTCTGTCCTCCTTTTCCTTTTCTGTTCTATTCTGAGCAGGTAATATAACACAAGGCCATAACATGAGTGCTCTAAATCCAAACTATTAATTGGAATTTTGTAATCAACATATTTAGATCATGATATATGATCTAAATAGACAAAAGCAATGAGTCTACCCTGTATCTGTACCATTTTTTCTTACTATACCAATATTGTACATAAAAATGTTTATCCTGGGGACTATTTTTCCAGAGTTGATCCTTTCAGCAAAGTGGTATTCTTAAAAAAGATTTATCTGAATTCTCTTAGAAGATGGGCAGACCTGAGTGCCTCAAAAACAAAATAAATAGAAAAAACCTCAAAAACTAACACACAAAAACAAACAAACAAAAACTCCAAAATCACAAAAAAACCAACCAAACAAAAGAACACACAAAAAATCACCAAAGAACCAACCTCCCCCTCAAAAAAGTAAAACCCAGAAAAAGCAAACCACATACTTACTTTACATTATCACCTTTAACCAGGCTAATAAGCGTAAACAGAAAGCTCACACATACCTACACGAACACACAAAATGCAGCATACACCATCATACAAAGTGGCTTTCATGAACATGATGCATCATTTTTAAAATGGCAAAGCACCAAGAAGCTCCAAAGACTAAACCTAGTATAGCAGCCATGGTAAAAATTTGTAAAAAGCTTGGTGTCTTCTGGGAGAACACAAGCAACCCTGTAACTCCAGGACCAGAGGAAAGAGCAAACCAAACACATACAGAAGCATGTAGATTACTCTGCAAGCAGCAAGGCACTCCTCAAGCCTTACTGCTGAAAAAGCCAGGAAAAGAACTCAGAGCAGCACAAACTGGAGTGCTCTCCCCACATCCATTATCTGTTTTGAAATTCTTAATAACAGCACTGGCCTCTTGCATGGAAAGTGTAGTCACTATACAGTCCACTGCTATGGACAAGTAAAGGTCCCGCCTGTATGCTAACTCATGTCATTACTAACAGGAACCTATTCGAAATAAGGTAGTGCCAATATAATTTCTTGTGTTTGTAACAAAGAGGCTCCTGTAACTAGAAGCATATGGCTAAGGCTTTGTTTATGGTGATTCTCTACTTTGCCCAAATCAGATATTTCACATTAATAACACAAAGTTCAGCTGTAACGGGAAACAAAAAACATCAGAACATTCTTTTAAGCTAATACAAACGTGAGCCCTGTGGAAAACTATGTGATCTGCACAACACAGTGAATCAAAACATTGTGCTATTAGGACCAAATTAGGGTAACAAAATATTTAAAATAATTGCTTACATAACTATTGTAACAGCTGGAAAAACAAATACTTGTGTGTTCGCTGTGGAAATCAAGTTATCATCTAGCTCAGTTAATGTCTTGCTGATATTTTTAAGCTTCTTACTTTTGTTTCGTCTTTAAAACGCAGTTAATATCCACCAAGAATATACGGTGCTACATGGTTACTGATCAGTCAGCTGTAGTTTATCTAACAAAAAACTCCAACCGGTTGAGTTTTTGACATTTAAATTTAAAGCAGTTTCTTATTCAATTTCCCCAGCAATTTTTCTTTTGTTAATAGAAGATATATTGCCACTGTGGAAAATACCTTTTTTCATTTAAAAAAACAAAAACACATATTAAAAATGTGGTTTGCATCCTACTCAGGAGCCTCTTTTACAACAAGATACAAGTGTAATAGTCGTACTGCTACTACTACAGGTCTCTTGGAATCAGCAGGCAGCTGGAAACACCTCATGGCAAAAATCAATATCACTATGATTGTCACCGATGGAATTCCGATTAGAAGATTTCAGACAGACCACATCTCAAAATTACCACTCCAAAATTTAAATTTTGTGCATTGTTCTTTCACCTCAAAACACTTCAGTACACTATAGAACATAAAAAAAATTATTAAACCCATTCATTAAAATCTTAATTCTGCAGATTTCATAAACAGGTAACATTGCTTACAGTAATAACTTTGTCACGTGCTTAAACTGTTAACACATTAACTGTTAAACTGTTAACATTTTGCTGATGAAAATTCACTTGTTTTAATTTTTAAAGACAGCATTTCTCTAAAGCAATCATGTCCATTGGGAGATAGAATGAGAAGAGTCTGTTTCTTTAAACTGAGGAAACCCCAGCAGTTTTCCCCGTTATTAAAATATTCTTGTAAATATGATATGTACACAGAGATAACCTGCAGCCCATGATAAAACTGCCTAATAAAATAATTCTAAACACAGTTTCTTTGTGGGAAAAGAGAATTAGAGAAAGTATGATGCAGTATCAACTATTGCAAGCTGAAAACACTACTTCTACTGCTGGAATTTTTACTTCCTTTCCATTTCACAGGCCACTTTTATCTTATTGATTATGTCATTTCTCTGCCTACTTTCCCATTAAATGGATCTATTCAGCAGAGTAGCCATCCTGGATCTCCTGAAGCAGAACAGTTACACACCAGCATCAATTTCCCTCCCTCTCCAGAGCAGGATCCTCTGTCCCACGAAATATGACTGTTTCTAGGACAGTAACATTCCAGTTTGATTTTTGAATTTTACCTGTCTCTTTGGGAGGGTCTAACCCTTACCTCAGTACTCAGCAAAGCAAGATCGCATTTTCTACCTGATACATGTGGGTAGGGAGAGAGAACCTGTTTGTCTGAGACAAAACTTCTTAGAGTGTAGCAGATATCAGCGTTGCTTCCTTCCTCTTAACCTGCCCCCCCCCCCCCCCCAACCAGAGACACACAGAGAGACATCTGAGAGAAGGGGAGGATGTTTGGAGCAATTTAACAAGCTAAAGGGAGATGAGCTGCCGCTGGTCTTGCAGCAAGAGGCAAGCCGGGTGGCCAGCTGGCCTAGGGCAGGCAGGGATACACAAAAAAGGGATGGTGACAGGAACAGCCGCCGCTGCCGAGGTGTTGCTCGGAGGCGCACGGCACGATCGGCCGGAGGGTCGGGCACTGTGAACAACCCTGTCTGCGAGCAACAGGGGCTTCAAGGGCAGCTCCAGTGGCGGCCGAGCAGCCTCAACACGCACGCCAGGGAGAAGCGGCCCGGGGCACGGCCCCGGCACGGCCCCACGGCCATGGCCCACGGAAGGAGCGGCTCCCACCCGCGGGCGGCTCCGCTCAGCCCCCGGCGGCGGCCCCGGGCCCCGCGCCCGCCCCACGGCACCACCAGGCCGCTCCGCTCCGCCGCGCCCCCCGCCCGCCTCGGGAGCCGCGAGGTTCCCGCGGCCCCCCCGCCTCGCCCGTACCTCGGCTGAGATCGAGGGACACGTTCTCCTCGCCGCTGTCGTTGCGACCTGTGGGGACGGAGGGGAAGAGAAGCGCGTTAGACGGGCGGGGAGGAAGAAGCCGGGGACAGGGAGGAGAAAGGGGGGAGAGGAGCGGGGGGCGCCGGCGGGCACCGTGGCGGTGCGGGCACTGTGGCGGTGCGGACGCCGGCGGGGCGGCCTGCGGGACGCTCCTCACCTCGGATGCGGAGGTGCCTCAGCGAGCGGGCGCGGAGCGTCGCCGCCATGTTTGCGGCCCCGCAGCCACAACACCGGAAACCTCGCCCGCTCTCGCGAGGGGAGGCGCGCGGAGCCGCCGACGCGGAGGGCGCCCCCCCCCGGCACCTCCCCCCTCACCGCGGGCGCGGGGAGGGCGCGGGAGCGGCCTGACAACAATGATTGTTCTTTTTCCTTCTTTCTCCTTTTTTTTTGTTTTGTTTTGTTTTGTTTTGTTTTGTTTGTTTGTTTGCTTGCTTGATTTTGTTTTTGTTGTACTTTTGTTTGCTTCTTTGTTTCTTTGTTTCTTTCTTTGAGGTTTGCCCGCCCGGTTTCTCGGCCTTGTGATGAGGTGGTAATTCACGTGGGTGCGGCGTGACCGTGGGCTTTGTACGCCGGATGTTTTCTGCTTTTTAAAGCGTGAAGTAATTAAAAACAGGAAAAAAGAAATAGCTTTTCTTCGTTTGTTTAGTTTGTGCGCAGCGGGTCTCTGTAGGCTCAAGTGCTGATGTACTTCTTACTGCTTTTACATTTGTGAAACTTACTTAATTAAAAAAGCATATTAAAAAAAAAAAAAAAAAAAAAAAAAAAAAAAAAAAAAAAAAAAAAAGACCAAAACCCCCAAAGTGGTAAAGAAGTCCCACTGCAAGAAACCGTGCACTGACATATTGGCTCTTCTTTAGGGAGAAGTTTAAATTTGCTGATAGCACCCACATCACGCCCTGATGGTACAGACAGCAACAGACAAGGCAAATCCTTGCACTCTGGCATCCCACATTCTCTAGACCAATCCCAGCCAATAATTGTAAAGGTATAGCGTGGAAGTAGCCAGCCGTATAAAAATACCTTCACAAGCTTAGATAACTGTTTTCCTGTTTTCTAGTCAATCATTTTCTACTCTGAATTTTCCCTCTTGGAGGTCTTTCAATTCAGGTCCAGCATCACTTATAAAAATCCGGGGCTTTTAAGGGTTCATGAACATTAAGTTTCATCTCAAAATTTTTACACTTACTGGTGCACTTCTAAAACATTAATAATGATTTAGGAGAGTAAACTAATTATTTGGTAAAACAGAGTGGAAAAACTTTTTGCCAAAACTTTAATGCCAGACATCGAAGAATCTTGCTATAACAATTATACTTAATTTAAAATGCAATTTTCAAGAACTTATGTATCATGATTATTGCTTGTTAAATATGAAGGTAATGTTTTGGAGGAACTAAACATTCTGAAAATTAAAAGCTCTGAACAATAAAATCTCATCTGTCCATAATACAGGAACAGGTCAAACTTTCTTTTCATCAATATACCTCATGACTGTCTTTTAGGATTTCTTGAAAACGCCAAATTAACTGCTGCTAGTGGTAATAATGCTGCATTCTATTTACTACAAATTCTGCTGTTGTCTAATTGTTTTCACATAACTTTGACTCACCACTAAACATTGGCCCAGGCTGGATTGGATTTGAACTTGTAATCTCTATGTAAAGCTTTGGATACTCATGCTAAATGCTACTGCCATTCAACACTTGCTTCTTCCCCAAGAGATACAAAATCTGAGAGACATGAGGCTTTTCAAGAGAATCCAAACATTGTATTTCAACAAAGGAGAATAAGAAAGGAGTAATGTTTAAATCCCAGAGTACTCTTTTGCAGCTTTTTTCTTGAAGACACCCTTTAATAATCAAAATATTACATTTATCTTGGGGGGCTTCAGTTTCCTGGGTCTTTTTCACCCTAATTGTATTTGGTTTCTGCAGGAAAAATTGAGGTTGTCTTTGATAATGACACATAAAATAATGCCATGTCAGTTATAAGTGCTAATCCATAAGGCTGTGTTAAAAGAATAAGGTATGAGGTATAATTAATATTTGCCACAACTGGGAAAGAAAAGGAAATGGAACATTATATTTTTCACTTTTCATTATGGTGAAATGGAAAGGAGTGAGAATGTATTAACCTCAATGACCACTTAGATCCTCACAAACAAACAAACAGCCCCATACATATGGCTACAAGGAGGCAGGGCCTTAAAATGTTGTGGTCATCACTGGCATGAGGAGTTCTCATGCTAGAAGAGTAGAGGACATTTTTGGATCTGTTTTTGGAGCTTTTCCTATGTTCTAGCCTTCACTTAAATGTGGGGAAAGAATCACAAAAGTTTATTTAAAAAAATTATAAGGATTCCTTACCTCTCAATTTTTCTATACACGTTCATCAAACGTTATTGCTCCTGAGCATGCAGAAGGGAAGAAATAGGGACAGGGAAAAAATCTCTCCCATTTGGAGGAGAAAATTAATGCCAAAGAGAAAATTAACTTCTGCACTTGTCTTGTGTGTTACAGATTACAGCTGACCCAGTGTATGGCAGCGTCTTCTATTTATTCTTTTGTCTTTTAGTGGCTAAAACACAATACATCAAATCACTATAAACCAAATCAAAGAAGATATATATTAGCTGCCAAATGGGAAATCAGAATGCTTCAATTTAAGTCTTCCTTTATAATTTTATGTGAAGTTATGTAATTTAGTTCTCTATGTAGTTTAGTAAATCTCCAAAAGGAGACACAGGGACACACTGTGAAAGCAGAATTTCCTGTGAGCTGCTGGTCTATTTCCTTTCCCCACTGCAAAGCATGACATATGAGACCATAACAATCCTCTAGTGTCACCTGGAGGTTTGCAGAGGCAGGTTGGTCTTGAAACCAGGGTAAAACATTTGTGCATGTTCAGAGATGAAAAGGGGCATCTAAAACTTGAGCCACATTTCTGTGCATGCATGCAAAGGACTCAAAAAGAAACTTCTTTGTTCCTTCCTTTTCCAATCACAAAATTGTTGCTTTTGCCCCCTCCAAGTGTGGGGCAGCTTTTTTACATATTGAACAGGGATATGCTATATGTTGTAGAAGATACTACTATGTGAATTATAAATCTTCAAGAATTAAAATCAATTAAAATACAGATCAAAAAGGAAAGCTTTTCACTTGTTTCGGGTCAAATAAAGAAAGCTAGTGGCAGAGCCTTAACTGTCTTGAATTATTTAAACTGCATGGAAATGAATATGGATGTGCAATGTACACCAGCTGCAGCCTGTCCATCATATAAATGTAGAAGAAGAAACATAAACCTGAATCAGGCTATTCAGAGAAGAAGTTAACTTACTGAATTCAGCTAAGCTACTGTGATTTGTGGCTGAAGAGCATTTTATCTTATGCAAATGTACTTGTAATACTCTCCCTTAATTTTCAATATCATGAAGTTGGCTATAAATAGATGATAAATTCTGACTGACAATTGGACAAACAGGAAGAGAAAATCTAGTGAATGGGATCAAAAGGTTAAAACCATCATCCCTTCTTTGCTATTTCTATACTGTTAGCAAGAGTCTTTGTAATCACTCTATTTGTTTAGTCTTATCCTTGACATGAAGCCCCTGCATAGAACATGATAAAACATGAGATCTGTTCTCTGCAGCTAAGAAATACTGTCACAGGAGGTATAAAAAAGAAAGGTGTAAAGAAACCATCGCTCAGTGAAGTAGCTCAAGAGTTTATCAGATATTGGTTTGTCCATATAATATTGCAAAAATCATTTGACATTATTTTTCTTATGTAAAAAAATCTCAGGCTGTATAATGGTCTATCTGAGCAGCAGCTCAGAATCAGGTCAAGAAAGACACTTCAGTACTTGAGTGAGTCCAGAAAAGGGCAGTGGAGCTAAGGAAGAGTCTGGAGTTCTATGAGGAGCAGCTGAGGGAGCTGGGGATGTTAGCCTGGAGAAAAGGAGGCTTGGGAGAGACCTTATCACTCTCTACAGCTGCCTGACAGGGGCTATATCTAGCGAGGTGGGGGTCAGTCTCTTCTCCCAAGCAATAGGACAAGAGGAAATGGCCTCAAGTTTTAGCAGAGGAGGTTTAGACTGGATAACAAGAAAGATTTCTTCACTGAAAAGTTGGTCAAGTGTTGGAACAGGCTGCCCAGGGAAGTGGTCCTGGAGGTATTTAAGAGCTATATAGGCATGGTGTTTAGGGACATGCTTTAGTGGTGGACTTGGCAGTGCTGGGTTAACAGTTGGATTCATGATCTTAGATGTCTTTTCCAACCTAAACAATTCCGTGAGTCTAAGAATGGGTCCTGGTAGATTTTGAGTTTAAAAGTTCCACTGTTTCAGTCAAATAGAATCTAGCTCATCAGCACATTTTTAGCAGTGGGACAAATGTATAGAATCAAATTAAATTATTTGAGTTCTGAACAACCGGTGGTCATTCTGAAGAACACACAGGTTCTAGAGCAGACCTGCACAATGCCTGACCCCTGGGCAGCCATGCCCTGAAATTCTCAGACCTTCCTGTGCTTCACAGTTGGCATGAAGTGGTACAAGCCTGAATGTCACATCTCCATCCAGATACAGAGCAGTGTGTGGGAGGATTCAGCTGCAGCTCTGAGCTTGTGTGCCTGCTGTGCAACAAAAGGACGTGCTAAGGAGAGGGTTGTGTTGCAAGATTTAAAAGGCATCCTCTTCAGAGGATGTGAGGAAAGGAACAAGGGGAAAAAGGTGACCCCCCATTAATTTGCAGCTTAATCTACATAAATCAAGGTCCTTTAATGTGCCATTCTGGAGATTTAGTTCTGTGTCCCCATAATACAGCAACAAGCAGAAATAGGAAGGGTCCTTCCTCCTGGATGTAAATTTATCTGACTCCTGGGACCAGTCGTTTTGCTGTGAGTGCTACCAGAGAATCTGAGAAAAATTCAATGTGGCTGGAGCTGGGTTGAAAACCTAGCAGAATCTGTGATATTGGGAAGGATAGAGGTCTTGAAACAGAATTACAATGTGAAAGCAGGGATATTGCTCCCTTGGAAATCCATCTGGTTCATGGGGTAACCTGGGGAGGGAAGTGGTTACATGGATATCTTGAAAATATATGCTGGGAGTTCTTTGGACAGCCTTGCACTAGTCTTGAGACAAAACTGTCTGAGTTAGGCAATGTGACAGCAAAGGCCATCAAGGTCTGGTGCCCAGGGATGTTCCCTAGCACAGTTTTAAACTACTAGTATGGATGCAGCTATGGGCTGCATCTGCTTATAG